CCCACCTGGAAAAATAAGTCAATGCCTATGGAAGGTCATGCTATAGGCAAGGGGATAGAAACTAACAATACAGTCTGTTGAATACAATGCTCCCTTAAGTCTGACCATGCAATATGTACTTGCATATGGGGCTGGAATAGGCCCTATGTGGAAGGGTAAAGGATGCAAGATCAGGCGTTACAGGGCAGGACAGCAAAGATTTCAGCTTTTCTCCACCTATGGGAAGCAGAAAGGTATGCCTGGGAATCCTGGACTTGTACATTTAGTTTCCTGTGATCGTTAAGAGATGAAGTGCAGGTTTCTCAGTGCACATGCAATGGGGGAGAGAAGCAGTGACGACCATTATCAAGAAGATAAGAAAAGATAATACCTCTTGTCCCACCCCACGCTCAAGCCTCTGCTGGTCTTCTAATCAAACAGCCAGCCCCAGCAGTATATCTGGTATCTAGGCACCCACTTTCTAATCTGTTCATCCTTCTGAGGGACATGAATGTGCTTAGTGCTCATAACTGAATGAGTCACTAACTGAAAATGCTCTGTAAAGGTGACTTGCCAAGGAAAAATAAATAGAGGTCTGTCTTTTTGCTGCTTTGAGATAAAGAAGGCCTCAGGTTTTTAAATATTTTTCATGCTTGTTTGTTATCTTAGTATTGGAACCACCAAACCTGTTTTTTCTGGAGGTCTCAGATGTGAGTTAAGAGCTTTCCAATCATGGGGCAGTGTTGCTAAATCTTAATAGAGAACTCTTTTCTCCCATTTGTTTTTAGGTTGTTTGGGTTAAATAGAGGTTACAGTTGGAATAAAATTCCATTTCCCCTCTCAGCTAATCAGCTGTCACTTCCTTGGTGTTTGCTGTAATACATCAATTTCTCCAAAGATCCATAGTGCTTTCCAGTGTAGAGAAGATACGTATTGTATAGATGTTATGGCCAGAAAGGGCCATTGTGATCCAGGCAAGAGATTATCACCCTTTGATTTCACTGTCAAGTCCAATAATTTGTGGTTGCATTACAAGATATCTCTGTAGGAAAAGATTTCCAATCATGATTTAAAGACTCAAGTGCTGATGAATTTATCCCATCCCTTGGAAAGCAGTTCTGGGGGTTAATTTCCATCCCTGTTAAACGTGTGCTTTTTTTCCCAGGGTGAATTTTTCAAAAATCCGCTTCCTAGTATTTCTAAAAACAGAAAAATCTTCCTTAGCGGTGCCTCACTCCATCCCAGAGAAGGACCCATGGCCAGTTCTCTTCTTTTGCAAGTCACTGTTTGCTAGAACAGATTGAAAACTGGCTTCTTCCAAAGTGTTGCATTACCGTAACCCTGCTCGAGCTTGCAGCTTCCTTCCTTCCCTCTTTAAGCCAAGTTGCGGCCACAAAACTTGGAATTGACCTGCCCTTTTTCTTCCTCTCCAGGGGTCTCTGCACACCCTTCTGCTGAAGTCAGCTCTCATATAGTGGAGGATGCAGCTGAACAGCCGGTGCTTCAGGGTCCCAGAACTCCTTGCCCTGGCATGAGAGAGCAGGTTGTGGCAACTCCACAGTCCAGTTTAAGGTTCTTGACTAGCAAGCCAGTCTCCTTGGTCAAGTTACAAGTTGTCCCCGTGCCCAGGTAAGAACCTGTAACCTGCAGTTCAAGTTGCTCTTATCCCTGCTGTTGTATATTGTTCCTCACTTCCAGTGATCAAACCTTTCTACCTGTTGCCATCAGCCAGCATGTCACTAGCCAAGAGATCTGCCATGCTTCTGCCATCAGTGTGTGGGGTCATGGGGCGGGTGTTTGGCTTCATGTCTTGCTCCTGAGCTTTGCAGTGTTGATCCTGCAGTGTCTTGATTATGGCTGCAACTACATCAGCCCTGAGGTCTGTCTTGCTTGTTTCTAGGTCAGCAAAATGTGGGGAAGACCTTAACAGGATGGTGGACAGGGGTGGGCAGAGTGGCCATCAGCACAATGAGCCCTGCAGAGCTGTGGTAGCCCTGACTAGTGATTTTTTTAAGGGGGAGACTGATCTGAAGGAAGCCTCAGTGAAGGGATCCATGTTGTAGCCTTTCAGATGGGCATGGGCCTTTCGTTGTGGGTAGGGGAAATCCTCCCCAAACCTCTCCTGCTTTATAGTGCTGTGTCTTTGTCCAGGGTCTACGTGTGGGAGACCAGACCAGGGCAATGGGACTCTTCAACCAGCCAAGCTTCTGCTAAGTGGCTCTTTCTCTTCTACTCTTTGCAGAATGAAGGGACTGTCTGATATGCAAGACTTGAAATTCTTAACCCCAGTGCGGCGTTCTCTGCGGATAGAGCATGCCATATCCCGTTACCCAGAGATGCTGAAGGAACATGACACCGTAGTGTCTTCCCTTGATGAAATAATGGCCATGGAGGATGTGAGCCAGATTGTGTTTCGTAAAAATGAGGCCTTGCTGGAAGAGGAGGAGCTGGAGCTTTAGGCTGGTGGTGTTCACAAGCTTCATGGCCTTCTGTTATGGTTTCCTCTGCCCGGGGTGAAAGTAACTTAAAGGACTTACCGGTACTCCAGAGTCCTGTGGAGGGGGACACCCCCCTGCACCCCAATCAACACTGACAGCATCCCCCCACCCCATTGACACTGACCCCGTGCCCCCCACCAGCTGACAGGATGCCCCAGGATAATCAGCGAGGGCACGCAGGGCTGCACTTATTTATACGCTACAATACAGGGCATTCACTGGCCACTTTCCCACCAAAGGACCCCACCCCCCGGAATCCTACTTGCATCTGGTCTGATTCTCGACCTGCTCCCTGCCCCATGGGGGACCAGCACTTCTGCCCCCATCCAGAGATCTAGCCCCATGGCTAGCCGGGCTCAGACAGGCCCCTGAGATGATGCTCCCCGGCTGGGCCTTTTGTCCTGAGCTGCACTACCCAAACCTCGGGAGTTTTCCAGATAAACCCAGCGCAACCTGAGTCCCTCAGTATGAGGCTTCCTCCCTTTCCAAGAAGGGGACGACCTGCCCTTCCTGGAATGTCTCCCCGGAGCGCCCGGGGGGGAGGGGGGAGGATATACACCACATTCCTACATGTTTCCCTAAATCTCCTGCATGTTTCCGCTGCCCCCCAAAGCCGGCGGCTCAGCTGTGCTCACAGCTGCCCAGTCACTCAGGCCGTGGGGATGGAAGGTAACAATCGCCCCGGCCCAGCGTCTGGTTGGAAAGAAAACACGCTAGCTAAAAGTATCCCCTGCCTGGCAAGCAATGGAAGTTGCCTGACTAAAGGGGAGGCCTGTAAATATACTAGGGGAAGTGTGTAATTGCCTTTCTACAGTGTTACTACTCTTAATAAATGTACATACCCTGTGACACAGTATGACCTAGTGCATTGCATACTGGCCTGGGACACAAGGTAGCTGTTTTTGGCTCTACTCCTGGCCTGCTGGGTGACCTTGAACAAGTCACTTCACCTGTCTGTGCCTCAGATTCCCCATCTATAAAATGGGGGAGAATAATACCGACCTTTGTAAAGTGCTGTGAGCTCAATGGATGGCAGAGCACTATGTAAGACCGAGGTGGTGGTACTGTGATGAATCAACTAATGCTGAATACTTTGAGCCATTAAATAGCAGAATAGCAGGGTCCTGCTGAGCCAAGAGGGGACACCAGAGCAAAGCAAAGACCTTGCAAAGAGGCCCTGGGCTCTAATCCCACCACATGGGCAGGGCTTCTCAGCACAACTAATGTTGGCACCTCCAATAGCCTTGTGCCTCTTGAAAGGGTGCAGGAAAACTCTCAGGATTGACTTAGAGCAGCTGGTTTGGCTGCAGGACCTCCCACTGCCACAGCAGTGCAGTATTTCAGTGACCAGTGAGGAACTTCTTCCAAACTTGTGGTGACTAAGTATTTCTAAAGCATCTTGTCTGCTCAATACCTAGAGGGGGTTGTGCATGGTCCCAGTCTCCACCCTGAGTTGGGGGACACATATCAGACCCTCTCCCCCCAAAGACAGTACCCAGTGGTCTTACTTTGTAGTGTCTTTAATTTAAAAAAATGTATACAATAGCCTTAAAAATTCTCCCACCTTAGTCAAATTCCTCCATACTCAAAGAGCTGCTTTGAGCCATGAAAGTCAATGCAGGAGCAGCTCTGCACACAGTCTAGGGTGCTCAGACCCAAAGGAACCTCCCTTCCCTCCCCCTCCCCCACACACACTGTATTTTCCATCCCCTTCTACCTATGGATGTAGGGCCCTCTCAGCACTATTGCAGGGATAGATGGTATATACACTTGGATGCTGCTGTGATCTGGATGCCTGTTCACTCTGTGAGATAGTCTTTGCACCACTCTGGTAGCTGACTTGATTTAAATTTACAATCAGGAACTTTCTGCCCTGCTCTGGAAGGCTGCAGTGCTAGGGCACACCTGCATTTCCGCTGGATCCATCATTTAGCACCAAAGGGAAGAAGTATGGAGCTTGTGACTTTAAACTTCAGTCAGGTTTGAGCCTTATTGGGATAGTTTGGATTCTTTTATTCCCTGAACAGACCTAGGACAACCTTCATGCACAAGCCTTTAAAAACGGTACTCAGTTTCTGGGAGGGGGTTGGGCACTATCAAGCATCCCTGCTGATATAAATGCAGTAGGGCTGCAGAGTGTTTCCTGAAAGAGGAGCTGGGATCCCAGCTCAAAAGAAATCTAGCTATTCAATTTATACTGAATGAGAGTTCACATTGCCTGGGGGGATGGCGGGGGAGTGGAGGCAGAGGGCACAGACCAGCACTGCCTGCTCCAAGCCCTAGAATCCAGGTTCAGCCACAGGGGTTGTAGCCCACGAAAGCTTATGCTCTAATAAATTTGTTAGTCTCTAAGGTGCCACAAGTACTCCTGTTCTTTTTGCGGATACAGACTAACACGGCTGCTACTCTGAAACCAATCCCCAGGTAATCAGCTTTCTTTTCCCACCCCATGTAAGAGCAGTGGAATCTGTCAGGGTCACTAGCTCCTGGCTTGTAAGGGGTGAGTACCTGACTCCAGGAACCCCACCACTGTAGTAGACTCACACAAAGCAACAACTGCTACATGAGTCAACCTAGCAAAGGAGAAATCAGAGTGGGGACTGGACAGAGAAACTAGCATCCCACAGACTTCTAGTGCACCAGCAATGGCCTCTTACCCTTCCCTGGCTGCTAAAGGCCTTTCTGCCTCAGAGGCAGTTGAGGGGATACCTGGCCATGAACTGTCTCCACTGAATCAATCCCTGGAGGAAAATGCAAACAACTGCTGGATTCCAAAGGGCCCCCTTAGGCACTGGTGGCTAAGGCTAGACTGGCAGGGATAGTTAGCATGCAGTGTTTCTTTTCAGAACACTCTCCCGTTTCACAGGATTTTGATGCCTCAGAAAAATGCTTTGTTCTGGGTTTGGCAGCTGCCATCCAGTCAGCAATCAATCAGCCTGTGGCCCGGCTCAGTCATCGTCGTCATCCTCAGCCTCGTCAGTGTCCTGGAAAATGCCTCTGAGGTTCTGGAATGAGAGATGGTTGGCACTACCTGAGAGCTGTGTCCATGTCACTGCTGCTCGAAAACCCATTCTCACGGAGTAGGAGTCTGATCCTGCCCTTGGACACAAGACCTGCCCAACTGCTAGTTCTGGTTTTCCAAACTCTAGAGCCACCAGTTCCCTGCTGTGCCCTGTGTCTCCTTACTCAGCAGTAGGCAAGGGCCTCCAAACCTCTCAGCTGCGCTTTTCAAGGTGACACAGCAAGCCTGATGTACAGGCTGCTCTGCAGCAGGGAGGGAATGCTGGGCTGGAGGCTGTGCGCATTCCTGCTGCAGCCAGGCTGCTGCTGGAGACACAGCCCACAGTAGAGTCCTGCACAGGACTATATTTTTAATGCCACTCCTCACTTAATTTAAGTATTAAAACTCTAGCCCACAACCACACTGGGTCCAGGGCAACCTGCTATATTTGCCCCTCAAATCTGGGGGGAGAGCTTCAAGTTTTCTGAGTTACTGAACTTTTAAAGGACAAAAGAGAGCAAATCTGAGCTGGGTTGCAACATCTCCCCAAGGCATGGGCCTGGGTAAGCTGACCCAGCAGCATCTGGCTAACCTGATTTGATTTGTGTGTATGATGCACCAAGTCAAAAAGGAGATCAGGGAGGCAGTACAAGGCCTGGGTCACTAAGCCCTGCAGTGCTCAGCTCAAAGCTTTGCTGGAGAACTACAGTGACGGACACTAAAGAGCTCAAAGAGAATTGTAGCTTCCTGTCTAATCCAAAGGCAGCCAGTGGCCTGACTTGAGTACTACAGGCAATTACTTGGCTGATTTCCTCCTGCTCCACCGCCCCATAGATCTCACTTTACTGGCTGTGAAGCAGTATTTCTGCAAAGGTGGAGGCACAAGCATTTCCCACAGGGTGTGGGAGTGGGTGTGGGCAGGGAGCATTTCTTCAGGTGCATCACAGCCTTTGCAGCCCCTGGCTCCCATCACATGACCTGGCCTGAACCCCCAAATCATCTTGGCTTGTGAGGGCAGGTTGGAGTGACACTGCAACCCATTCTAATGAGGAACAGGCTGCCTTCAGTGCACCATCTCCTGGGTTTTAATTAGGAGGGATATTTGCATGAAAACAGGATATTTCCTGCTCTGGCTGCTTTTCCGCACCAGAAGAGGGATTAAGGCAGTTTGAGGCCCCTGTCATGCAGATGGCTCAAAGGAGCCCAGCACCCAGGACATCCCCAGCAGTCTGAGTGGGGTGGCTGCAAGCTGGCTGGTGCCATGGCTTTAAGGAAGCCCAGCTGCAGATGTAGCTAGGGCATGGGCCTGTCTTTGGTTGCTCTGCCAGCCTGCACCTGGGGTCAGTCATTGTGCTGGGAGGTTGGTGCTGCCTGTTAGGAGACACACACAGCACGCTCTCAGGGAGAGCACTTGAGCTCACCCCTTGTTGCTTTACCTGAATGGAAGGAACGAGAGCTGAAAGCTGGGAGTGTGTAAGGGTCTAACTTGGCTCAATGACTTGTTTGCTCACTGACAGCTGCCTTGGCCTCGCTGTGCTGCAGTACCCGTTGCCAGAGAACAGGCCCAATAGGGCTACCTGGGCAGAACGGTTGCAGGCATCATTACCGGCCAAGTGCTGTGCAAAAGCCCAACTCAGTGAGGTCCAAGATCCAAATGCATCTGATCAGCTCAGAGAGCAGTTCCCGCTCTGGGGCTGTATTGAGTTCACTGCTGGCCCAGCCCATTTAGCGCCTGAGGCTGCTGCGCTCTGAGTCTGGTACACAATCTGTGCCTTTCGGGAGCTGCTGCATTAGTTTTGCTAGACATGTTTACTCTTCACACCATGGCTGAGGTATGCTCTGTACTGCCCCGCAAGGGCTACCACAACCCTCAAAGGTCAGATGGAAGGGTGGAGAGAGCTGGTCTAGCCAGCACTGGTCAGGAAATCCACCCCCACCAGGGCTAGCAGCAGCGCTAGTGTAGACTGACACAGGCTTTACCCATTCTGGGCAGGGGAAGAAGGCCCATGCCCACTCCAACTGCTACCACCATCCATGGAGCTGCAATGGTGGGAGGCCTTTGGAAAAAGCTAGAGCAGCCCCAGCTTCAGGGTGCTGATGACATGGCAGGGGCTGCTTGTTGGCTAGGACACGGTCAAGGAGTAGCCCGTGGGCTGGATGCAGGGCAGTGAGGGGCAGCAGGAGCCCAGTACAGAGGCTGATGCCCCCTAGTGGTGGGGAGAGGGAGGGGGAAGCTGGGAGAGTGAAGCAGATCAGCCCAGAGAGTGAGAGGAGAGAGAAGCCAGGTGCAATGAACGTAGAAGGTGGAAAGGTCGGAGGTGAAAGAGCACAAGGTCAACAGTGCAGCCACCCCCAGGCAGGGAGAAGAGAAGCCCCAGAGGCGCTCGGCAGTGTTCCCGACACCCACCCACCTGGTGGCCGTGGAAGCTGAGCTGGTGCAGCCGATGCCCCGTTAACAAGCCCGACTCCCTGAGCTCCAGGTGCACGTGCTCTACAGTCGATTCATGCGGCATCTGTGGACGTAGGGAGGGCATTTGCACACAGAGTTTGGGCCCTGAACTTTGTTTCCCAGGAGTGAGCCTGAGCTTCTCCAGCTCTACATTGCCCTGGGTTGGGGCCCACCTCGTGAGCTGTACCAGGGTAGATCTAGGGAAGCAGCGACTGGATGGACCCAGTGGTCTCTCCCCCCCATGCCTAGAGGTACCTCCCAGCCTTTATACATCTCCTTCCATAGAGGGCTTCAAAAGCATCTCCCACATCTCAATGAAGCCTCACAAGAGGGGTCAATAGCAGCATGCCCGCTGAAGAAACTGAGGCCCAGAGAGTCCCTGGCAGGGCTGGGAATAGAGCCGGCTCTCCTGGCTCCCAGCTCAGTGCCTGAACCACAAGGCCTTTCTTGCCCTCAGCAGTGCCAGCCTCATCCTGGCCTAGGGCGAACCTGATCCCATTGGATGGCCCTGTTGAGTTGCCCTCTGGACAATGGCCAAGCTCCCAGGACAGGCCAGCCGGACTGACCCAGGGCAGAGTCCTGGCCATCATCTCCCTCTCTAACCCAGGCTCCCTGTGGACCCAGCCCATCTCTTTGCCCCGGATTTGCCCTGGCCAAGTGTGTACCAGCACGGGCGGTGCACGGAACAGGTAGCTGAAGGGGTAGTAGAGGAAGTTGATGAAGGAGGCGGCGTAGAGGTCTGCATAGCGCATCAGCTGGTTGGCAAAGAGCGTCTGGCGGGAACCACAGCGGAAGAGGCTGCCCATCTTCCCGTAGCACATGTCCATCTCGTGGGTGACTTTCTGCAGGAGACAGCAAGTGAGTCAGCATGGCCTGAGGCCCAGCCCTGCCCTGGCTCCCCAGGGAGGAGATGGGGGCCTGTCAGTGTAGGACCCTTTTTTAAATGGAGAGTCAGATATAGGACAGACACCGCAACAGAGACATCAAAACAGGCACAGGTGCACGCTCCAGGGGACTGGCCAACGCTCAGGGCTATGTACCACAAGGCCCAACAAAGCCTAGGGAATCCCTGCCAGGGACCCCCAGACCCTACTGTGTCAGGCCCTGCCTGCTTCCTCCAGTGCTAGCCCCTCCTGGCCAGGAAGCTCAAACATCACCACAGCAGAGTGTCGCTCTTCTGCCTGGCAGAGGTAGCTCAGATTTTGCTGCCCCTTTGGCACCAGCCTGGCACAGACGGTGTTCATTCCTTTTGCCCCTCCATGCAGAGATCAGCTCCGGCAGCAGAGGATTTGGGTGTCTGCTTCTGCAGAGCAGAGCCACACACCAGCAAACAGCAGGAGAAGGCACACGAGCCTTTCTGAGGTGGGAAAGGGATCAGGAGGTGAACTCAGGGGCCCCAGCACCAGGCTTGACCCCCCCCGCCCGAACGGCAGCTATAACTAGACACAAGGAAGCAGAGATCATTCTGTGACCCAGATGGGACCTGCTGTGGGCCAGGAAGCCAGGCCCTGGGGGCTGGGCTGCTGCTCACTGCCCTGGTGGGGGAGCAGGATGATCCAGGAGCACCAGCTGACAGTCTTCCCCTCACATCTGCCTCCCCACCCCACATTGCCAGAGGCATGGAGGGAACAGGAAGCAAGTTTCTGCTCTCTCACTCCCCCAGCTCTTAAAACAAGTGGCAGGGCCGCAAAGCCCCTCCCTGAGCCAAGAGCGCTGGGTACCTGGATCTGGCGCTTGATGGAGCTGATGTCCGGGCGCTCGCTGCTGCTGCTGTCCAAGGGCCTGAGGAGAGCACAGCACGGCACCAGGGTGAGTGTTGCTGGAGGGGGCAGTCCCAGCCCTTCCATCCTCCCAGCTGCTCCCTGCACAGTGCTCTGGACTGAACAAGAGCCAGAAGGGGCCATTGCTACATGCCCACAAGGCAGTCCAGTTAACATCCAGACCCGGGCTGATTCTGCCAAGTGCATGTCAGATGCCCCAGAGCCCCCCTCATGCCAGGAGGGCATCCCACCCCCGCCTGGGTGTAACTGACACGAGGGACAGGACTGAGGCCCTGCCCCTTTGTGCTCCCTGACTCCGGGATGGGTCATGGCGCAGCCCTCGCTCAGTACTAACAAGGGGTTGTTGGTTTCCGAGGCTCTGCGAGGGAAAGCATCAGGCCCCCGACAGATTGGCACAGTGTGACAGCAATGAGCAGGCGTCAGAGGGACGGCCTGGCACAGCGAGCGCCTCTCCCAGACCTGGGGCCTAACCTTCAGAGACACTCCAGCAACAGTTGGAGGCCTTAGGAGGGGGAGAAAGGGTCCCCAGGGAATAGCCCCATTGCAGGGGCCTGCCTGGCTGGCAGAGAGCAGCTATACACAGTGCATGGCATTATGGGTATTCTCTGCATCCCAGCATGTATGTTAGAGCAGCCCCAGAGCGTCTCTTGCTTACAGTGCATGGCCCCAGAACTCAGGGAGCTCCAAAGGGGGTTAAAGCCCCGCACACCCCCTCCCTGTCGTGCCTCAGGTGACAGGGCTCAGGCCCTCCGACATGGGGATGTTCCCTGGAGGGGCCTCATGTGCAATTCCAAACATCCAGAACGCTGAGCGTTCCCAACCCCTTTCTGCCATCCCCCAGCTAGAGAATGTGCCTAGGGAAGTTTTTGCTCAGCCACACCCCTTTGAGTGTACCCCGCACCTCACAGAGCCACACGGTCTAACTTGCACCTGCATCTCTATGTAAGGGGAGCAGTGTGGAACGGGCGAGGTCACTGCTGGGAAGGTGCCCGCTGGGCTGCCTACCCAGGGCATTGCAGAGTCTTGGGAGCCTTGGGGGCTAGCTGGCTTGGTGACCATCGCTCCTCATGTGCGGGGGTGGGGGTGCTTGTGGGGTTTCCCATTCACAGCTCAAAAACCAGATTTCCCAACACCTTCCCCAGCCACATGACCCTTGGGGGCAGAGCCAAAGGCAGATTCTCCTTCTACTTCCACCAGGTTAAGGCCTTGTCTATACTACAAAATTAAGTCGACCTACAGCCACCGCAGTAATTACTGCAGTTTTTCATGTCCACACTGTCCTCCTTCTACCAGGAGTGCACGTCCTCACCAGGAGTGCTTGCACTGACAAATGGGGCAGTGTGGGGGGCTGACAGCCAACAGGCGATGTCAATAATGCAGTGTCTACACTGACAGTGTGTTGCCCTAACTACAGCGACCTAAGTGCTACGCCTCTCACGGAGGTGGCGTTATTAGCTTGGTGTAGTGGGTGACTTACATCGGCGGGAACAACATTGTAGTGTAGACGTAAGCTGCCTTATGCTGACCTAACTCTGTAGTGGAGACCAGGCCTAAGTCAGGTCAGCCTTGGCTGAAAGCAGTGGGGCTGCCCCTGGAATAGAGGAACCAGCTCTGGCTGGAGAGCGCTAGCCCAAGAGGAATGAGTGAGCGTGTACTAATGGGGTGGGGTCTAACCCCACCATTTCGCAACCTTCCGTGCAGTATTCGTATCCAGGCCAGTCTAGAATTCACACTCTCCCCCTCCAGCTGGATTCACTAGCAACAAAACCTCACGTACACAATGGGCCCAGCAAATTCAGCCGCGGAGATGGTGACTCTCCGGCACCAGCAATGCAGAGAACAGCGCAGGCGCACAGAGAGGCCTCAACCTGCTGCCGCTGAGTCACTCTGAGCTCACTCCAGGGGGAAGTTGGCCCACAGAGCGTCTGGCACCTTCCCCCACTGCTGGCTGGCACGCGAGGCGGCCGCTCGCCTTTGCTGTTTCATGGGGAGATGGGATGCGGCTGCTTCTCTTTCGTTCCCAAGCTGGCCGCGTGACAGGCTTGTTGCTCTCTGACTCACTGGCTAGAGAGCAACAGCTGATCAGTGTCTGCACAGAGCCTGGCCCAGTGGGGCCCTGGTCCACGCCTGGGGTTCCCAGGCATTAGCACTGCACGAACAATAGATGGACAAGGGGGCAGGAGGGGCCACTTTGACGTGACCCAGCCAGGGCACTCCAGGTAAGCGCTAGCTCATTGCCTAAGGAGGTCCAAGCACTTTGCGGACACAATGACTTAGGCCAACAGAGTATCACTATCCCTGTTACACAGATGGGGAAACTGAGGCACACAGCGAGGAAGGGGCTACACAGTGAATCAGTGGCAGATCTAAGAATAGAACCCAGGAGTCCTGCTCTAACCCACTAGACCCCACTCCCCTCCCAGAGCTGGGAATAGAACCCAGGAGTCCTGGCTCCCAATCCTGGTCTTGATCAGTATTTCTCATTCCCCGTGCAAGGTGCTGCATGGACACAGAACACAGGGCCTGGCCCCAGGGAGCTTACAACCTACCAGTGCTTAGGGTGACCAGATGTCCCGTTTTTAAAGGGACAGTCCTGTTTTTTGGGACTTTTTCTTATATGGGCGCCTATTACCCCCCACTCCATGTCTCGTTTTTTCACAGTTGCTATCTGGTCACCCTACCAGTGCTCCCTCTCCAAGTCTGCTTTCCCTACACTGCCCCGGACACGCAGGGCTCTGGTCAGCTGCCGGCATAGGCTCCGCACCAGGGAGCCCTTCCCCTTGGTTATTCAGTCAGACAGCCACAGGTTTGCCCTGTTCCAGCTGCAGAGAGAGAAGCTGACATGTTCCCTGCAGCTCTGGGCTCTGTGGCGGGGAGGAACCAAACTGTGGGTCTGGCTCTGGGGTCTGAGCCCCCAGCCAAGCACCAAGTGACCTTCCCCCACCTCTCTGCACTCAGACTCCGCCACGCAGCTAGAGCTCAGCTTCTCTCCTTCCACTTACTGGTAGAGCTCCGCCAGCAGCACGTCCAGGCTCCGCAGCTCCTCGAAGATCTCTGCAAGCAGAAGGGGGGGGGGGGGGGGGGGGGGGGGGGGGGGGGTTATCTGGGAGTGACATTCTCTGTCAGTCCTGGCTCCTGACAGCCCCGCAGCCCCGGCCCGCCTGGGGGTCAGACACGGATCCTTTCCCCAGCTGCATGAAGCTCAGCACAGCTTAGGATCAGTGGAATTGGGGGGGGGGGGGGGGCACCCCAGCACAAGCCAAGGACAGCTGGCCCAGACCCCAGAGCCAGACCCACAGCTGGATGCAGCACTCCCAGGAGCCCATGGTGACAGGATCAACCTCAGCTCAGGCCTTCTCTGGGCTGGCCCATGGCATGAAGCTTCAGAGAGATTCTTAGCAGGTCCCTGGTGCTTTGCTGTTAGTCTGTACCTGCTCAGGGGGGTACGCAGCCCCAGAAAGCAGGGGGAAGAGGTTCCCCATCGGGGGGGGAAGAAGGGGGGAACCAGGCATGGCTCTAATGCTTCCCTCGGCCTGGGCACTGGCTGTAGGGCTCCCCAGCACTTTGCCGCCACCCCCCAGCCCTGGGACACCACCCCTGCCCCATGCTCCCCCGCCCGGCGCCCAGGCCAGGGCGCTCCTCACCGCTCTTCTCTGTCCACACGTGCAGCTCTCGGGCCAGCTCGGGCACCACCAGGAAGGTGCGCCAGCCCTGCCTCTTCTTGGACTTGAGGATGTCCCCGAAGATGTGGTCCCCGATGTAGAGGATGTCCTTGCCCTTCACCCCCAGGAGGTCGCACACCATGTCCGAGGAGCCTGGGGCAAGAGGATCGGAAATCAGCGCCTGTGGCCTGAGGGCACACTCTGCCCCCAGGAGACCATGTGCTGGGGGAAGGTCTCAGCAGGATTCCTGGGGGCCGGCAGAGCAGCTAGAGGCCCTGGGCCAGCGGGCGGGTGGGGCACCAGGCATTACCTCCAGAATAGACCGCGCAGTGCTGGAGGGGTCCGGTGTAGGTCCCGATACGCAGCTTCCCCGTGTCCTGGAAGTAAAGGCAGGGTGTTATACTGGGCAGACAGCGAGGAGCCATGCACAGGGGGCTGGATTCTTGAGCACAAGGGGCCCACTCGGCAGGCCCGGGGATCCCCAGATGAGGGAGAGTCAGGGCCATGCACCCTGCTGGCTGATCCAGGGAGCGGGTGAGGAGCGTGCTGCATGGGATCCAGTCCGACGCCACTCAATGACTCAGACAATGGCTGCTGGGTGGAAGGGATGAAGAAAGCAGCCCTCAGGGAGCGGTTGGAGGGACCAGGATGGAGACAGAGGCCTTTGCTGCACCCCATGCATGGCAGAAGCCAGCAGGAAGGGCACTAAGACGAGGGCTGGAAGCGCCCACAGCAGAGCACAAGCCATTTCCAACCCATCCAACGCACCGCGTGCCGGGCGGCCCCAGCCTAACCAGCCAGCACATGGAATTCCAGCTCCAGTGCCCGGCTGGCTAATCCACGGGCATGACTAACATTTGCAGCTATGCCAGCTAATCTCATGCTTCAGGGCACAGAAACTGACCCCTTGCAGAGGTCAGGCAAGTGCCGCCCACTTCCCACAGCGCTCGGTAGGACGGTCTCTTTGCCTCTGGAACAGCAGAACCAGGATTGTGGGGTAACCAGACCCATGCTCTGCTCCAGTCTTGCACTGCCAGCAGGCCCTGTCTGGCTTTCCGGGGAAGTCACTGCAGGGGGGGCCCTACCGTGTTGACCTGCCGCAGGACGGTCCCCTCAGCGAAGAAGAGTGGCTTGCGTGTGTCCACGACAATCAGGTCAAAGTAGGAGCGCCATGGGCGCTGGACCTGCAGGGAGACACCAGGTCAGGGGCCCGGCGGACGCACCCTTCAAAGTCGCAGCTCAGGCTGTTCCCAGATCTGGGCCCACTAGGTCAGAGACAGACTTCCCACCCCACATCGCTAGCACTCGGTTTTCCTGCAGCCAATCCCAGCCTTGCAACCAGTGTCCAGGAGCAGCGGTCAGATACCACGGTGATGGCCAGATCTCCCAGTCCACCTCGAGAGCCACAGCCCAGGAGCCATCACCCCTCCCCCACAGTTCCCCCTTGGGGTTCGTCCAGACTCACCTTGTCTCCCAGGTCCAAGGTGAACAGGTACGTCATTATCGCCTGCCAAAGACACAAGCGTGGAGTTGGCATCAGCTGCGCTGGCACCAGACGCTCTGCTTAGGGGCAGCGGATGAACGGCACTCAGAATACATGCACTGAAAGCCGGGCTGGCTGGCGGGGGCCCGGACCCTCCCAAGGGAGTGGGGAGCCGCGCAGCAAGTGCTGTGATCACACAAAGGCTGCCCAGCCTGGCACCAGCCCCACACAGGGGGCCCTGGATACACCTCACTTACTGCCCCCAGGCCTTGAGTCTAGCTCTGTCCTGCACAGCATGGGGTGCAGGTCCTTTGCTGGGATCACGGAGCATCTCGCACTCGGGGACCCTCGGTCCCTCCTGTTCTCTGCCGGGGCTCTCCACAGTTGGCTCTCCTGAAACACTTTGGGCTAATGCTGGTCACTGGCTTGGAGACGGGTCTGCGCTATACAGAGGGTCTGGCTGTCCCTTCCACTCTGACTCAGAGACAGGCATGGCTGCTGGGAGTCACTTTCTGATTTTTAAAGCAGCGTGGCTCTTAATTCGGGCCAGGCCAAGCCCCAGAGCAGCCCCCATGGTGAAACCGGGCCACATGGGCTGGGAGCTAGCGACCCAGAGACAACCACAGGGCCCCATCCCCTTTCTGTTTGTTGCAGGCGAACCCTGATGCTGTCTGACAAGGGAGATGACGCAGCCCCCCCGCCCCCAACACACCCCCAGGGGAACCATCTTTGTCAGGCGCTCTCCCCCAGCCCCGTGCATGTATTTCAGCTTGGGTGCTCAAGGTGCCCCCCACCAGCAGAGAGTGCTGCAGACCCATAGGTGGGGCAGGGAGGCTGGGGCAAACGCCTTTGGCTCAGGCTGAGAGCACAGGCCACGCCAGCTCCCGGGGGCCCCGGGGGAGGGCTGGGTACTCACATCTGTGTAGTTGTAATCGCTGTTAGTGGCCAGGAAAACCTTCCCCGCTTCCTTCATGCGGCTCAGCAGCAGGGGCACACGGGGCTGCGCAGAACGAGATCCATGCAAGGGGCTGGCTTTGCAGGAGTGGGCAAGGGGGCAATGGTGCCCCGCTTGGGCTGGGTCCGGGTCCTACGACCAGCACTAGCTGGGGGAGTTCCGGCAGACAAGGCCTGCATCCACAGAGCTCAGGGAGCAGGGTTCCTGGCCCGGCTGGCTCACCACTGGGTAATGCAGTAACCTGGGAAGGGCAGTTGGGCGGGGAGGGGTGTTGTCGGCCAGGGGTGCCCCCACTCACACAGTAGGAGGATGGTTTTGCTCACCCCCCCCCCCCTTTTTTTCCCCCCCCCCCACACTCTCTCTCTCTCTCTCTCTGCAGGAAGGGAGCCTGAGAGAGATCTCAGTGCGGAAAAGGAGGGAGCCAGTCTGGTCCCAGGGGGCTGGGGGAGCAGGACAGGTTTGGGAACCATGCTGGCCATAGAGCCCAGGGGAGGGGATGCCCAGGAAGGATGCATGGGGGCCGTGTTGACCCTGCAGGGCATGGGTGTGATGCCCCTCTAGGCCCGTTGGGGAGAGGGGGGAGAGAGAGCGCAGCCATTCCAAGTGGGGGATGCAACACTCACGTCTTTCACCACAAACTTCTCCAAGTTCTCCAGCGTCTTCTCCTTCAGGCAGCCCTGGGCAAGCGCGGGGAGAGGGGGCGGGTCACAATCGCTGCCATCTGCCCCCCGTGGGGCACTTGCCCCCTTCCCTTGCCCATGTGGCGTGGGGGACTCTTCTTGTGCCAGGAAACGGACCGAGGCCCCAACTCCGTGTCCCCCCACACACACACAACCCGGTGCCCCCACAGCAGCACCCAGATGCCAGTGCCTTGGAGCCACGCCTGGCCGGGCCACATCACAGCCCATCACACGCTGTGTCGCAGCACGGGCGCTGAGGTCCAGGGACTGTTAGCCCCTCCCTCCGCGCCCCGGGGCACTGCCCAGTGTCCCATGCTGCAGGACAGAACCAACCCCCATTGTACAGTGTAGGCCCACGCCCTCAGGAGGAGCACAACTTCACGGGAGAGAGGACAGCACCCGGAGCCCCCTCACTGGGCTCCCAGCCAGCATCTGATCACCCAGCTAGTCCCTTCCAGTCAGTGCTTCGTTTGTAATGAAAGCGGGGCCGGGGCTCCGGACTGCCACAAATAAAGCCCTGGTTCCGATGCGGTAACTCACCTTGCTCATTTGGGGCCGGGACTCCACACTTGCCACTCCTGACACACGGTGCAGGGCAACGGGCTGAACCGGGCTATGCCCAAACCCACAGCTGGAGCCCCCGGGCCAGAGGAGCAGCCCGGCCAGGTGAGCCAGACAGGCACCTCCCCGTGACTGAGCCGGTCCCATCAGGGAATCACCTCCCCTGGCAAAGCCACTGGGAGCCCCCTTGAACCGGTCCCATCTGCACAGGGAGCAGAGTGTCCTGGGGGCGGTCTGTGCATCCCGTGGCCCAGCCTGTCCATTAGGGGTGGGATCACACAGCTGAGCTGCCAGCTTTCCTGGGCCGGGCGTCAGCCTCCCATGCGGGCACGCAGTGCCTCTAACTTGGCTCAAAGAGCCAATCGGGAGCCCCCACTCTCAGGTGGGCTCCAGCATCCTCTGCACAAACACCGGCAAGCCCCACGCTGCCTGGGGCACTGTCTGGAGTGGAGACCATGGCCTGGTGTCACCAAGATCAAATCTCATGTCACCCACACACACCCCAGCTACAGACAGGAGCAAGCAGGTGTAGCCCACGGCAGTAACTTGCCATGTTACATTGGCTAAGCCTGCTTGGAACCGGTTATGGTGGATTTACACTGGGATTTTAAACTGATTCCAGTGCAAGCTTCCCAATGCAGACCAGGCCTCCCAGCCCACTGAGGGGTTCCCAGGCAGCGACCAACCGAGAGATGCACGTGGTCCATGGCCTCGCGCACGTCCTGGAAGATGCTGCGGAATGACATGAAGAGGTTGCCGTGTTTGTAGCCCGTGTCACAGCTGGGAAAGCGAGGAGAGAAAATGGTCAGTGGGGAAAGAAGAGGGGCACTGGGCTGGGGGACTTTGAGTGGGGCAGGGGGAGGTGCAGCTGGGATGGCAGCCAAGGCACTCCTAGACACCCCAGGGAAGGGGGGGATTGCTGCCCCAGGCCCCCCAGACAGCAAAATGCTTCTTCCCCACCACACCCAGCAAAGGGAAACCCAGGGCTGGTGTGTGCCCCTGGCAGGCCCCAGAGCAGCCAGGCACTTCCCACAGCAGCCCCAGGGGTTGGGAGTTTGGGGGGCTCGTCTCAGACACAGGCAGCCAGGCGGGCCGGAGTCTCAGTGGGAGAAGATTGGGCTGCCTATCAGGCAGGGCGGAAGCAGGGTGGCGTGACAGCTTGCCCACTGGCCATCTGGCATCTGCTACTGCCAGGCCCCAGGGCTCTCGCTCTGGCAATCAGCAGGGATGTTGAACCTCCCAAACCTGCCAGCCTCCCCGGCCCCGGGGACCCCCTCCCGAGTCCCAAGGAAAGCTCCACTCAGGGCCAAACCCAGCCAGGCTTTGGCAGAGCATCTGGACCTTTCCCAGCCTGCTGCGGAGATGGCAGGACCCAGTCGGGCTGCTGAGCGCAGGGATCAGCGGGATGCCCCCCCCCACACTCCTCAAATCCTCAGCGTGCCGCGAGGCAGGGGCTCTCACTTGACGTATCTGGAGCAGTTGGTAAAGAAATCCACCAGGCAGGCGTAGAGATAGGTCTCTGCCAAGGGAAAGGGAGGGCAGGTCAGCAAGGCAGCAGGCTCTGGGAGAGGGGCCCTGGGAGCTGTGGGTGTGGCCCAGCCACTAGCCTAGGACATGGGTTCAAGCCCTGCTCTGCCACAGACCCCCCTGGGCCAGTCACTTAGCCTCTCTGGGCCTCCGATCCCAGCTGTCACCTGCATGGCCCTGGCACAATCGGGGGTGGTACACGCATTCGGGTGAGATGCTCAGATACTGCAGGGCAGACAGGTACCAGAGAGAGGCGGGGATCCTGGTGAGTGAGGGGGGCCCCCAGGGGAAATGGGGGGTGAATTTTACAGCAGAGCTGCCCCCTGCACATGGGGGGAGGCCATAGCCCTGCGTACCTGTGAGGTTGAAGAGCGTGTTGAGAATGTGAAATCGCTTCATATCGTCCCGCTGAATGAACTTGTTGGGGTAATAATTCCAGATCTCAGCCCTGGAGGGGGAGACAAACCCGTGTGAGGGACTGGGGGGCACTGGCTGAGTGAGGGCCAGGGCGGAGCTGCCAGAGAGGGCAGATGCTGTAGAGCAGAGGCTGAGCTCAGCTGTGATGAATCCTACAGGGATTTTCCCACAGAGGCTGCTGGACACAGACAACCCTGGGGTTCTCTCTAGCTTCCAGCCTGCAATACCCAGTGTTACCACAAGCTGGCACCCTAAGCCAGGCCTCCTGCCCTGCATAGGCCAGCTCCTGGGTGGCTGGAGCAGGTGTGTTCTGCACACACAGAGCACCGCGAAGAGCCAGCTGCAGCCCCCTAAGCCACGTGCTTGTCTGCACGGCCCCGTGCGACATCCCAGCAGCACCCACAGCAGGGAGCCGGCCAGCCTGCAATGCCCACCCAGCTCCCCACAAGGAGCCCAGCAGTCACAGGCCAAGAGCACTGATTGGCTGCTGCTGCACGGCAAAGAGAACAAAAACTATGTTATAAATCAGGGGTGGGCAAACTATGGCCCGCAGGCCACATCCAGCTCACTAGCTGATTTAACCCAGCCCTTGAGCTCCTGTTGGGGAGCAGGGTCGGGGGCCACTCCATGCACCGCGGCTCCCGGAAGCAGCGCATGTCCCCCCTATGGCTCCTACGTCTAGGGGCAGCCAGGAGGCTCCACACGCTGCCCCGTCTGCAGGAACCGTCCCCGCAGCTCCCATTGGCCAGGAACTGTGGCAAATGGGAGCTGCAGGGGCAGCACCTGTGCACGAGGCTGCACGCAGAGCCGCCTGGCCATGCCAGAGCCGGAGGGGGACATGCTGCTGCTTCCGGAAGCTGCTTGAGGTAAGCGCCGCCCAGAGCCTGCACCCCTGACCCCCTCCTGTGCCCCTGCCCCAGCCCTGATCCCCCTCCTCCACCCTAAACCCCTCAGCCCCGCCCCAGAACCTGCACCTCCAGCTGAAGCCCTCACCCCCTCCACACACCCCAACCCTCTGCCCCAGCCTGCACCCTGAACTACTCTTTTCTGGCCCCACCCCAGAGCCCTCACCCCCTCCCCCTCCTGAACCCCAACTTCGTGAGCATTCATGTCCCGTCATACAATTTCCATACCCAGGTGTGGCCCTCGGGCCAAAAAGTTTGCCCACCCCTACTATAAAGCATGAGAATGGGACACCCCCCTGCACCCTAATCAATGCTGACAGCACCCCCCCCCACCCCATTGACACTGACCCCGTGCCCCCCACCAGCTGACAGGATGCCCCAGGATGATCAGCGAGGGCACACAGGGCTGCACTATTTATACACTACAATACAGGGCATTCGCTGGCCACTTTCCCACCAAAGGACCCCACCCCCTGGAATCCTACTTGCATCTGGTCTGATTCTCGACCTGCTCCCTGCCCCATGGGGGACCAGCACTTCTGCCCCCATCCAGAGATCTAGCCCCATGGCTAGCCGGGCTCAGACAGGCCCCTGAGATGATGCTCCCCGGCTGGGCCTTTTGTCCCGAGCTGCACTGCCCAAACCTCGGGAGTTTTCCAGATAAACCCAGCGCAACCTGAATCCCTCAGCATGAGGCTTCCTCCCTTTCCAGGAAGGGGACGACCTTCCCCATGCCCTTCCTGGAATGTCTCCCTGGAGCGCCCGGGGGCGTGGGGGGGGGGGAATATACACCACATTCTTTCATGTTTCCCTAAATCTCCTGCATGTTTCCACTACCCCCAAAGCCGGTGGCTCAGCTGTGCTCACAGCTGCCCAGTCACTCAGGCCGTGGGGATGGAAGGTAACAATCGCCCCGGCCCAGCGTCTGGTTGGAAAGAAAACACGCTGGCTAAAAGTATCCCCTGCCTGGCAAGCAATGGAAGTGCTGGTCCTGTTGTGCCCAGCTGCTGCACCGTCCCAGGCCCCGTGCCTGGGCAGAGACACTTCCTTGTGGGGCACAGCCCCCCATCTGGGAGCATGCGGCTCTCCCCCAATCTGCCCCAGTGCTTCCCAACGCAGCCACAAGGGAGCTGATGGCACAGCCATCTCCCCGCGGAAGCAGAGATGGCCATGCCAGGCGACAGGCAAAGAATATCAGGGTTGGAAGGGACCTCAGGAGGTATCTAGTCCAACCCCCTGCTCAAAGCTGTGACCAAGGGCAGGGCAGAGCCAGGCCCCTCAGATCTCCCCTCTCCAGTGCAAGAGGTGTTCTGGGGCAGGGGAGCAAGGGTGGACTGGGGCCAGCCCTATGCCCTGATGTGCCCCCGGTGCCAGCCTCAGCACTGGGGTGAATTTGCCCCTTGGCGAGTAGCCTCAGCCTGCCCCACCTCCCCTTGCGGTTCAGGGGCAGCTCCTCCAGGGATGAGTGCTGGGCTGCGGGGGAGGCGCAACCCCGGGACGCTGGACAACGCCGTGTTTATAAAGAAGATGAAGTGCTGGGCCGGCAGCAGGCTGGTGTTGTTGCGCTTTATTTAGAACCATGACAGCAGCCTGGAGACATCCCTCCGCCCCTCCCAACCTGGCTCCCCCCCACCTCCCGGGAGCAATGTGCAGGCTTCATTATGCCCAGGGTCAGAGCACCGGCAGCAATCCCAGGAGCGCAAGGATGGCCCACTGGTTAGGGGCTGGCCTGGGAGACGAGGCAAAGTCACTTGGGTGCTCTGTGCCTCAGTTTCCCCTCTGTCCAATGGGGAGAACAGCCCTGCCCTGCCTCCCAGGGCTGGGTGCGGATAAGTGTATTAAAGACTGTGGGGTGTTCAGAGGCCAAGGTGACGAGGAAATACCTTCACTAGGTTTTGTATAGCAGGGTCCTCCTCCAGTTGCCCTGCAAGGGGAACGACATGGGGGTGGGCCTAACATCTCCGGAGAGGTCAGAGCAGGCGGGATTGTCAGGGACGTGATCCATTGCGGCCCACAGTACCTGAGTCAGACCCTTCCACCATGGTCAGTGCCAGACTCAGGGGCAAGCCCCACTCTGTGACTCAAGGGCAACTTGGAGACTGACCCCTGCAAGGCCCTTTCTCCTCTCCCCCAAAGCACCAAACCAGGGAGCCAGCTCCAGGGTCCTCCATGCCCACCTCAATGCCACCCGCCCTGCTGTCCCCCACCCCCTCTGATGCAGGAGCGACGGAGACAAGGGCAAGGAGCGAACAAACCACCCGGGGGCAACAGGTGCATTTGGTTCCCAGCCCCCTCCCTGGGCAGGGCTGATTCCTGGCACTTGTAGGGCCCCGCTGTGTAGCCAGGCCAGGTACCCACCAGCAGACACTGGGCAGTGCAGGCTGGCAGCAAGAGAACCCGAGAACCCAAAGGTCTGGCTGTGCGTGCTAATCCCTCAGCACCCGCGGGCAGAGCGGGTGGCAGGACGGAGCAGCTGCCTTAGGAGCCTGGCCAGGAATAGCTCTTATCCAGCAGGGGCCTGGCCCAGCGCATCAGGACGATTCAGCCCTGGGATCAAGTGTCCACAATAGGAGGAAATCTAATAGGGGCCGTTGCAAGTCAGACGCCTCTGGACAGTGCAGGGTCGTGGGGAGGGAGTTGGTGGGTGGCAGTGGAGGATACGCAGAGCCTGAGGCTGCACTGGCAATGCCAAGGGGCCAAATGCCCTGGCCACCCCACAGGTCACTATGCCCAGCGGGCACTCAGCCCTCAGCAGGATCGGGGCCCAGTCTGCTGGCTTCCACTGGACTCAAGGGGAGTGAGGAGGTCAGGAGCAGCCCAGGGTCCCGATGGGATAGGGAGACACAGGAGGGAAACACTGCCACGTATCTGCACTCGGGAGCCCATGGACTCAGCACGGGAAGAGCTCCGCCGGCCCCTGACGGTGGGGGGTTGCGCCAGAGTCTCCCGGGGCTCCCGCCCCACCCCAGGGCTGTGCCCGCACCAGCCAGCCTGCTGGGCTGGCAAGAGGAGCAGCGAAGGCACCTACCCACTGAGGAAGCGGAAGCCGTGGGCGCAGACCAGTAGGTTCCCATGGGAGTCAACCTTCAGCAGGTTCCCATACTGAGCGTCAAACACCAAGCCCCTGCAGGGGGGAGAGGAGAGTGTCCGGGGGCGGGGGGAGCCCCGTTCAGAGAGCAACCAGCTCTAGGAGCTGCTCTAACCTCCCGGCGCCAGCCGCCGACCCTCCCCGCAGGGGAATGGAGTCCCAGCAGCGGAGCTGCGTCCGAAGCAGGGTGGTGGGCTCCGCTGGCGTGGCAGCGTCTGAGTGGCAGGGCCTTGGGTTCTGAAGCGCTGTGACCTGGGGGGGGGGGCAATGCCAGCCCCCCTTGCCCATCCCTCGTCACCTGGTGGCTTGACTGACTCCACAGGCCTCAGGAAACCACTCATGCCCTTGGCTGAACGGCACCACCAAAACGGCGTCTTCTGTCCGCATTGGTGTCACCCCACTAGTGTCACTGGGTTTACACCTGGGACCAATTGGGCCTCCAGGGCCCAACCCATCGTGTCCTGTGCCTTGTGTTTACACCTGGGCATGGGGGTGCCAACTTGGAATGGCAGCAACAGGCCCCTGCTTGGCATGGAGGTAAGTGACAAGGCAGGGTGGCAACGGACAGGGCCCAAGCCCCCTGGGAACAATGGAGGTTCCCCCATCTCCCCCTCCCCATGACAAACAAGGGAACCTCCCCCCTCCCCCCCTGACTGGAGCTCCTGGGCGCTGAGCAACACAGCCCCTGGCCATTCACTCCAGAGGACGATACCCAGGGAGCCCGTCTTGACTCTCAGATCCAAGGGGGCAAATAGCCACTAAGTGGTGTAAACCAAACCCCTTTGAACTGGGGGTGTTCAGACACCACGAGCCTGGTGCACTGGGGAAGGAGGGGCACTTTAAAGCGTCACTGCCCCCCCCCAAGCCATCAGTGGGGCTCGCTAGGGGACAGCCCAGAGCGGCTGTGGGGGGCAGCGCTCACCTGGTGGGGAAGGTCGGGTCATACTGGTACTTCAGGATCTCGTGGGGGTACCCAATGGAGACCAGCCAGTCCAGCAGCAGCTCGAAGGCCAACTCCTCATAATCTGGGGACTTGTATACTGCGGGCGGGAAGGGAGGGTGAAGAGGAGCACAAGCCAGAGCTCCAGCAGCCGGCGCAGGGAACCCTCTCCCCAAAACAAGGGAATAGGGCCCAGGGCTGCCTCCCCCAAAGACCCCAGGCTGTAGCGACACCCAGGGGGAGGGGCAGGGGGTTACAGCAGGGATCCCAGTTCACCCACTGGCACTGGTATGCTGCAGACAGCGTAACCAGCATGAGCCCCGCTGGGGCAGGCAAATGGAACCTGCCTTTGGAATGTGGGGAGCCCCTGGCACTCGCGCCCCATCCCCACTGGGGCATGGCCCATATGGGGCCAGCTAGCCGGTATATGCGAGAGGCAGCCTTAGAACTAACTAGGGTCTAGCCCCTGCTCCCATCCAAGCCGATGGCCAGAACCTGGTGTGAATCCAGAGCTGCGCCGGGGCCGAGGGGAGGGTTACTCCGGATTTCTGGGAACAAGACGGGGGGCTCAGCAGGCAGCCACCACAGACAGTCCTGGGCCCCGGACCAAACTGGGAAGTGAGGATCAAACTGGGGGAAGCCAGCAGAACTCCCAAACCAGTGGCAAAGCCACCAGGCCCAACTGTTGGGATCCCAGATACAGGCCAGAACCTCACAGACCAAACCACGGACCAGGCAGGTTAGCTTGGTGCCTACCCAGAATTCTTCCTGGGCCCATCGACTGGATCCCATGGTGCCACCCAGCTCCTCACAGGCCAGGCCAGAGGTAAGTCCTGCCCTATAGGAACCCCATCCCTCCTCCCGGCCCAGAACTCACTCGCCAGCGTATAGTCCATATCGAAACCAAAGCACCTGATCTTCTCCAGAGCCAGGCTGCGGTTCACAAAGATCCTGGAAGGAAAATGACAGCAGAGGGTGAATGGGGGGCAGCCCTGCTTCCCCAGGGCTCTCGCTCTCCAGTTGGCACTGCCCCCCTTTAATACCAACACCCCCCACCTGGCACCCCCTCCAGCTCACCCCCCCCCTTTGTTCAAGCAGCCCCTGGGAGAACCACAGTTTGCCACCACCAAAGAGACATTCCTGCCCCCTGCCCCAAGTTCGCCACCCGTCCCGCTGGGCTGTATCTCTGGAGGGGAGCTGGGCCGAGGCTTTGAAGGGGAATGCTGGTGAGCGCCCGGTCACGCCAGCGCTGCTCCGGGCAGGCTAGCTCTGGGTTTGCCATCACAGGGACATTAGCTGGGACCTGCATTTGTCCTTCCCTCACCTCCAGCCCAGGGGGATTTAGCTGCTGGTGACTGACAGAGACAGACAGTCTCCTCTCTGCAACCACCTGCCCACGGCCTGCCAGGATGCTGGGGCCCTGGCCACGCTGGTAACACGGCCATGCCCCACTCAGACCCACCCTGTGCACACAGGCTGGCTGCCATGGGCTCCCCTAGCCTAGTGAGCAGCCAGCCCTTCCCACAGCTCCTGCAGCACAGACAGGCTCTGCTCTTGCGAAGGAGCAAGAGCTGGCCAAGGGAGCCACCAGCCGGGGGGAGCCAGGACTGGCACTGTGGAGGGGGAGCACAGCCCCTTTGGGGAATGCTGGTGTCCGGGCGGGAACCCCAGCAGGGTGCAACACTCCAAAGCTATCATCTGGGGAGGAGCGACTGAACGAGTCCGTCAGAGACATCAAGGGTCAAACTCACCACAGAGGGGCCACCTAACCCCAGGGCTGGAGCCCGCCCTGCACCTGGCAGGAGGGCTGGGCAGTTTAGCCTAGCAGGTACAGCACTAGACTGGGGCTCAGGAGACCTAGATATTATTCTTGGCTCTGCCACAGGCCTGCTGGGTGACCTTGGGCAAATCCTGTCACTGCCCCGTGCCTCAGTTTCCCCATCTGTAGGGTGGGAATGCTGCTGCTGGCAATAAGAGCTGGGCGTTGTTATTGTGGCGTGAGATTTCCAAAACATCTAATGGACTTTGGATGGCAGGTGCAGCCTTCACTCTTCAGTCCCTTCGAAAACCCAGCGTCAGTGCCCCGGGACAGGGGGACGGTCCAGGGACCCGACATCCACGAGGAGGTGCAATGAAAGCAAATGTGCTGAGCCCCTAGCCAGTGTGCTGCCTCTGGGGGAGGGGCCCAGCTCCTGCCCTGACCCCAGCAGAGGGAGATGAGGCAGCCCTGGGGTCTGTGCCCCTCACAGCGGCGCCACCCTGGCACCAAATGACTTCCAGCTGGCCCATGGGCAGGCGTTCCTGCTAAAATTTCCTGAGGTGATAAACACCGGCCAGCCGCGGAGAGTGGAAGTGCCTTAAACCTAGCAGCTCCCAGCCCTGTTCCCAGTCTCTGGCTCCCAGCAGAGTTGAAGGGAATCAACCAGCGTGTTCATGGGGAGCAGGGTGGCGTGAAGAGGCAAAAATCAGGCTGCTCTGAGGAGAAAGGAGGTGGGGGCCCCCTAAATCAGAGCCTCCTGCACCACAAGGTGTTCAGAAGACACACCCCTCCCCAGAGGCAGCTGCATGAGGACAGGCCCAGGGGCGAGAGGCGACCAAGGCAGCATATCTGGAAGCTGTTGCCAGATCCCAGGTTTCAATGGCTGCTGCCACAGGAGCGTCATCCAGCAGCCATGAACCCTCGCGCCACCCTCCTCGCCAGCACAACAGGAGCCGAGCTGCGCTGGGCATTGATGGAAAACAACGGGGGTTGGGGGAGGCTTCCTGCTCACTGTGCAGATTTCCCTTCCCCCCCCCCCCCCCCCCAGAGTGTGGAGGAGGTGTTCACTTCGCATTTGGCTCTGATCTGCAGGGGCAAAGGATCAGACGGAGAGCTGGTGAGTAGTGCGAAGGAGCAAGTCTGCTCCATGGAGGGCAGGGTGGGTGCTGCTGATGCCTTTTATGGCCAGACATCAATTCTTGGCAAAATCATGGAAAGTTTATTAAGGGATACAATCAATAAAGATTAGGCACACACTTAATGCCAATCAACATGGTTTTATGAAAAATAAGTCTTGTGGGCTTTTCTATTTTTTAAACGAGTTCACAGGTTTGGTTGATAAAGGTCACTGTATCGATAGATTACCTTTGTAAGATATTTAACCAAGTCCCACTTGACATTCTGATATAAACATTTTAGCAGCGGAGAGAACCACTGCAGCCCATGTTAAATAGATTAAAAACTGGCTTACGGATAGATCTCAAAAGTAATTGTAAATGGGAAATTGTCTAATGGGGATGCCATAGGCATCTGCTCTTGGCCCACTGCAATTCAAAATCTTTATCAATGTTCCGGAAGAAGACAATCATGGCTTGTAAAGTTTGCAGAGGACACAAACTGGTGGATCAGTAAATAATGATGGGGACAGATTAAACAGACTGTATACAGATTATACAGGCATGCATCCGATGAAGTGGGTTTTAGCCCACGAAAGCTTATGCTCAAATAAATTAGTCTCTAAGGTGCCACAAGAACTCCTCGTTCTTTTTGCTGATACAGACTAACACGGCTACCACTCTGAAACCAGCCTGTTCTAGATCACCTAATAAAATGGGCTCCTTTGAACAACCTTGGTTTTAATATAGCCAAATGCAAGGTCATGCACCTCTGAACAAGAACGCAAGTCCAACTGATTATATACCAGGACTCCTACGTCCTTTTCAGTGTCACTGCATTCCACTCTAAGTGCCTACATGAGAAAAAAGATCTGATAGCAGATGGCTCTTTAATCTAGCAGAAAACATCCTAATGAGATTCAAGTGCTGGAAGCTGAAGCTAGATTAATTCAGACTAGAAAAAGCACAAGTTTTTAACAACTTGCCTGGGTGCATTCTCCATCACTTGAAGTCTCTGTCTAAAGATATGCTCTAGTTCAGACAGAAGTTATAGGTTTGATGCAGGAATCATTGTGTGATTTCATGGAGGATAGGTCCAGCAATGGCTATTAGCCAGGATGGTGTCCCTAGCCTCTGTTTGCCAGAAGCTGGGAATAGAATATCAGGGTTGGAAGGGACCTCAGGAGGCCATCTAGTCCAACCCCCTGCTCAAAGCAGGACCAATCCTCAGACAGATTTTTGCCCCAAATCCCTAAATAGCCCCCCTCAGGGATTGAACTCACAATGCTGGGTTTAGCAGGCCAATGCTCAAACCACTGAGCTATCCCTCCCCTGGGCAACAGGGGCTGAATCACTTGATTCCCTGTTTTGTTCATTCCCTCTGGGGCACCTGGCATTGGCCACTGTCAGAAGACAGGATACTGGGCTAGATGGACCCTTGGTCTGACCCAGTCTGGCGGTTATTTTCTTGTGCAAGGTTCTCTGGCCTAGGTTACGCAAGGGGCCAGATTCTGGTCCTAGAACCCTACGAATTGTCACTGTTGCTTTTCTGGGCAGACTGGTGTCAGCTGTGGGAATGCAGAGCACAGACCTCGCCTCTTCTCTGCCTATGAGCCTTCTGGATGTGCAGAAGAGGAGCTGCAGCATTCATCTCTCAATGGCTGGCTTGACAGAGGACTGGCATGTGTAAGTAAGAGGCAGATCTCCTTTCATCTAATGGAAGGTAACCTGCTCGCCTACGTGGCATAGGCCCAATACTGTTAAGTGCTCCCAGAGATTCTCCTGGAGCTCAAGCAGTGAGGCTTTTGGAGAAGGAAGGTGCAGCTTATCCGTGCTGTCACTTATTAGCATTGTTTATATTCTGGTAGCACCCATAAGCCCTGGTTATGCACCATGGCCCCACTGCGCCAGGTGCTGTACAGACAGAACAAAAGGAAACATTTCATTGTTACAAACGTTCATTGTTTTTAAAGTGGATTCCATTGGTTGAGGACACAAAACTGTACAATTCCCAGTGATCACCTGCTCCCCCATCAGCAGCCTCTGCCTGAGGCCGAGGGCTGAGCTGGCCACTGAGACCCAGCAGTTCCCTGGGCCTGAGAAGGGGCCCTGGCACGGCAGTGCAACCATCACTCGCAGTGGGCCGAATACTGGCCTGGGGCCCACCAAACAAGAGCTGAACTGGGCTCCAGGACCCCTCAGGATGAACACTCGCGTAGAAGCGGGGTGACGCGGTTGCTGAGCTAGGCTCTCCGTGGGCAGCGCTGGGACCGGAGGAGCAAACAGGGCCCTGCAGCCCGATGAAAGCCAGTGAGGGCTGTGTGAGACCACAGGGTGCGTGAGGTCGCTCTTCTCACAGTCCTGAGCAGCGAGACACCCACCTATGCCATGAGGGGCTGCCACGGGCATTGCAGGGAGGCAGGATCCTGCCATGAAGCTCATCCCCACCCACCCAGCTCACCCAAGGCCGCAGATGCTGGTGAGGGGACAGAGGGTGGTGAAACACCCATTGGCTTCAATAGCATTTGAGGATATGGTGCGGCAGGGTTTGGAGGTGCCGAGCCAGTGCCCCGTTCGACAAGGATCGTCCAACCTGGCTCCTGCTGCGGACAGGGTCCCATGCCACCCTCCGCATGCTGGGAAAAAGAACAAATCCAAAGGTCACGTGACCCACTCCCAACACCCCCCCAGCCAGGGGGAGACACCCCACACCCCAATCATGCGTCAGAGCCTTGCGTAATCTCCAGGGCTCTCTGTAAACAGCTGGGACATGTGATTCATTGAACTCTCTTATCAGCCTCACACAGCGGCCCGTGCAGCAAAGCCAAGGTGATGAAACGGCTGCACACTGCTTCAGAGCAGCATTTCCTTGGCACAGGGGCACAGACCCCAGCCTGCTCAGGATTCCCTACGTACCCCAACCCCCCATGCCAACCGGCATAGAAGATGCAGGATTCAGCCTCACAGTCTTTAGTGTTTGTCTGAAAGCCCCCAATCCCAGAATCACAAGACTCTCAACTTGCATTTAAAAAAAGGTTTCCAGCTCTCGCCACTGCAAAAAAGAGCTGGGGAATGCAAACCAAGCAAGCTCTAAAAGCTAAAAGGCCAGAAGGCAAAGAAAAAGATCACGCGATCTCATGATTTTTTAAGACAATCTCGGGATTCTGGGGGCTGGAGTCATGATTTTTGTCCGTTTTGCATTGGCAGTACTGGAAACATCCCAACATATCCCCCATTAGCTACACGCTGGGGAAGGTCCCCCCACCAACTAGCTGAGGTTTTTATTTCTACAGGGCATTCACTGATGAGTTAGTATATGGAGACTCAGTTCTAGTAACTGGTTTGGAATCCATTCTTTGTCCATGTCTTTCCTCCATCGCAAGCCAAGGTGCTGCAGAACCTCGCGTTGCTTTTGCACCAGCTGCCGGCTGCACAATCATTAACACATTTTGATTTTCTCTCTTTGCAATATGGACAGAGAGCAACATGCACTTGCAACATGTTTGCTTTTGTTGCAAGCACAAACACTTGGCTTCTTCTGGAGATCTCTGCATTGCATTGCAATCGCCTCTGCATTGATTGCAAATCAAGCTGGTCTCTGCACTTCCCTGGTCTGTCTTTTGGCCTTGGGAAGTGTTTGGAAGGAAATGCAATTCAGTTCTTTTCCATCTGAATGCTTTGCTTTGCGGGACACGCTTTTTCTTTGCCATGTTAACACAATCTCTCCCAATAACTTTGCTTTGACCTGGTTATCACTTATGCCTTGGATAATTTGGTCTCATTAGTCCACCTGCTGACTGGGCCATTCCACATGGCTTAGCTTTATTACATAGCTCTGTAACATGATCCTCCACTGTCCTGCCTGGCTGCTGGTTTCTTGCAAAGAACCCATGCCCCTCTCACTCTTTGTAGCCCCTAGAGCAGGGGTGGGCAAACTTTTTGGCCCGAGGACCACATCTGGATATGGAAATTGTATGGTGGGCCATGAATGCTCATGAAATTGGGGTTCAGGAGGGGGTGAGGGATCTGGGGTGGGGCCAAAAAAGAGGAGTTCAAGGTGTGGGAGGGGGCTCCGTGCTGGGGCAGAGGGTTGGGGTGCAGGGGGGGTGAAGGCTTCAGCTGGGGCTGGGGATGAGGGGCTTGGGGTGCAGGAGGATACTCTGGGCTGGGACTGAGAGGTTCAGAGGGCAGGAGGGGGATCAGGCTGGGGCAGGGGCACGGGAGGGGGTCAGGGGTGCAGGCTCTGGGCAGCGCTTACCTCAAGCAGCTCCCAGAAGCAGCGGCATGTCCCCACTCCGGCTCTGGCATGGCCAGGCAGCTGTGTGCTGCCCCGTGCACAGGCAGCTCCCATTGGCCGCAATTCCTGGCCAATAAGAGCTGCAGGGGTGGCGCCTGTGGATGGGGCAGCAAGCAGAGCCCCCTGGCTGCCCCTAAACATAGGAGCTGGAGGGGGGACATGCCGTTGTTTCTGGGAGCAGCGGTGCATGGATTGGCCCCCGACCCTGCTCCCCAGCTGGAGCGGGGCAAGCCCCAGACCCTGCTCCCCAGGAGGAGCTGGCGGGCCGGATGTGGCCCGCAGGGCCGTAGTTTGCCCACCCCTGCCCTAGAGACTGCCACTGAAACGGAGACCCCACCGGGCTAGGCTCTGCACAAGGGAGACAGAACAGTTCAAATAGGTCTCCAGCGGCTTCGTTTCACCAGCGCAGGGCAAAACTGCTGGAGTTTCCACCCCAAATTCCCTCTCCCACTTACACCTCCCTACGCTGCCCTGCAAGTGTGTGTTCCCCTTCCCTCTTTCATTCCCTATATTCCCCTGCACCCCTCATTCCCCCCCTCAGAGATTTGCTGCAATAGGTAGCTGTGGAAGAGAAATATTTAGGATTACTGGTTGGATTTTGCTGTCCTTTTTTATTAGCTGAGAATGTAGCTGTCAGCAGAGATAAGGGCAGAAAACTTTCAGCAAAACTCCCGGAGAATCGCCCTCTTTCAAACAGCCCCCACCTCCCCATACTCCCCAGAGGAGCGAAGCCAGGTTGCGCTCAGAGAGGGCAGCCTCCCATGCAGTCAGGAGGCAGAGGGGAACAGGCGAATTCTGTGTCCAGGGAGGAGGTGCTGTCACTATGAGGAGGAAACACTGTGCCCCACACACAGAACCAGGCTGAATCCCTGCTTTTCTGCACACCCCACTTCCATCATGCAGTGCTTTTCAATCACAGATCTTGTAGTGGGTCAGAATAGCACCCCCACTCCCATTTTACAGATGGGGAAACTGAGGCACAGAGCAGCGGCAGCCCGAGCAGAGCCGGGAATGGAAATCCAGGTCTCCCATGCCTCAGGCACATGGATGAGCCACTGGCCTACATTGTGCCCCTGATTTGGGGGCTGCTAAGCTGACAGCTCCTCAGACCCTGCCATGGCGAGCCCTACCGGGCGCGTGGAACCCTTTGGCATCTGTCTGAGCCCTCTAGAGCCCCCTCAGGACATTTCCTTTTGCTCTGGTGATTTGGGCCTGCTCACTTCCCTTCCCCCCCCCCCACACACACACACTCTGCTGTCTGTGTTTGATCCTGGAGGAGGGGGGGATTTCTTGGGCACCTAAGGAAGAAAGATCTGGCCTGGAGGAGGCAGCGGTATGGGCACTGGCCCTTTAAGATGGGCGATAGAGGCCAGCGTGAGACAATACAAATTATTAGAGCAGAAAAACGCCTTTTGAAATGGGGCGTGCACCACAGAGACGCCCCAGAGGGCTCAGGCAATGGCTGCCTTGGCATCTAGGGTGCCCAAGGGAATTTGTGAGAGATCAGCACCCACCAGCACCAGCTGATGCCCATGGCAGAGCTCCCAGTGACTCAGCAGAAGCAGGAGCAGGCCCCGTGTCTCAGGATGCCCTTGGGGAGCTCAATCCTGGGGAGGGAAGGATTGGATCCCCCTGGTGACAGTCACAGAACTGTCCATGGGCCCAGAGGCTGGGTTGGTCTCAGACCCCGCTTCTTGGAATGGCCCCCAGCCCCTCTACCCCCACCTCCCCCACTCCCAAGATCTGCCCCCTCCCAGATCTCTGCCCAGTAGGCTCAGCTGCACCAGGTGCATCTGCTCTGTCCTCAGATCAGATTGTGGGGCTGGGGCATTTTAACCCTTCTTTGCTGCCCTCGGAGGCAACGCTTTGTACCCAGGCTTACGCCTGCCACATGGGGCGGGCAGGCCCAGCTCTGCCATTGACTCACCAGCCAACCTAGAGCAAATCCTGTGACTCTGTGCCTCAGTTTCCCCATCAATTAAACAGGGATACTGACCCTACTTTAAAGGCCTTGGCAATCTAGGGGCTAGAGGAATTCACGGGTCTCAAGAGGTCACAGATTGGGGAGAGTCTAGATACAGTGGCTACTACGGTAGGTCCAGTGCCTAGATACCACAGTGATGGGCGCTTTAAAGAATGGAGAGACTTGTTCTCGCTGAGCTGTCCTGATTGGAAGCCCGAGCTGGATGCTCACACGCTGCACCTTGTGTCATCACTTACACCCGGGCCAAGGGAGGTTAAAATCATTAGCAACAAGGCAGGCAGCATGGCCTAGTGGAGAGAGTGGTGGCCTGGGGCCCAGGTTTTATTCCCAGCTCTGCCAATAGCCCCCTGCAGTCACTTTCCCTCATGGGGCCTCAGTTTCCCCACCAGCACAACAGGGATAACTATAGTGACCTCCATTGTGCCTGGCATGAGTTCACCCCCTCCCCCAGCCCACCCAAGCCAGAAACAGCTCCTGACCGCAGCACCCGCCAGGGTGTTCAGAGAGCTACTGCACGCAATCCACACGCTCCCTTGGGTGCTCAGGTCTGGTTACCAAGATCCAGCTCTGAGAGTCCTGGACATTACAGCAGCACCTAGAGACCAACTGAGATCAGGGCCCAGCTGTACCAGAGACAGTCCAACTAGACAGGCCAGGCACAGGCAGGAGAGGCGCAGGGCACAGGCCGGCCTGGCAGTGCCACCCCACTCTGCTCCTTTGGTTTTTAAGGCTTGTTTTAATGAAGCTGGGGGGGGGGGCAGGTTTGCTGGGGAGTCACTAGCCAGCCCCGGAGGGGGGGCGCTCTGCACCGGGGGGTGCCAGGCTCCAGCGCCTTCCCCCCTCCCCGTGGGACTCCCGCGCACGGCTCCCGGTTAGTCGGGGCGCCGCGGAGGAGTCGGATGGGGCCAAGCGCCCCTGGCGGGCTGCCCCCGAGCTGGTGAGCGGAGCTTCAGGCGGGCACCGGGGCGCTAGCTCCGAGTTCCCGAGCCAGCGCCGGAGGGGCCCATCCCCGTCGGCTCTGGGCGCCCGGCTCCGCGCTGCTCCTTACCGGTGCTGACAGGCCCTCTTGAGGGCGCGGCCGTCGGCGCCCCCCGGCTCCTTGGCGCTCCGGAGCCCGTCCTGCGGCGGGGCCAGCGCGGCGGCCGGCTCCCCGGCGAGGCTGCCCATGAGCGCGGCCGGTGCGGTGCGCCCTGGCCAGGAGAGCGAGCGAGCGGCCGGCTGGAAGTGGAGCCTTTTATCGCCTGACCAGCTAACGGGCCGGGCCAGCCGCCCCGCCCCGGCCCGTCCGCGGGGCTCGCTGCGGGGCGAGGAGGGGGCTTCCTGCCGGAGACTGCGGGGCTTGGTCCAGTCCCAGCGGGGACGGCTCCCCCCCAGTGTCCCCCGGCGCGCCCCCCGGCCCCGCCCCCCCCCCCCCCCCCCCAGTGCCCCTATGGTGCTCTCCCCAACCCCGTGCCCGGCATGAGCCTGTCTCCCCAGGGTCTCCGTGCCTGACCCAAGCTCACCACCCTCTGGGACTGCCCCCCACTTGCCCATCCTACCCTGGGCTTCCCCTCCCCGCTGCCCACCCTGTGCCCACCTGATGTCCCCTCACCCATCTCACATGCACTCATCAGCCCATACCCCCCATCCCATGCCCACCTGCTAGCCTGGGGCGCCTCCCATCCCGTGCCCTGCCACCACCATCCATGCCCACCCGCCAACCCTGGGTGCTCCCCTCCCCCTCACAGTGTAGTTTTAGCAGTTCTTGATCTCAGGTGGGGCCAGGCAGCCCCATCTCTCCCCTCCAGCGAGGGCTGCTTTGCTGTAGTCTCTGGTTTCCCTGTCCTTATGGTACCAACCCGGGTCCCCCCGCAGCCCCAGCCCGGCACGCCCTATCCAGCGTCCCGAGCCCCGGAGATGGGCGGGAGACTGGCCAGGGTACCTCTGTACACACCCCTCAGGTCGATGTCTCAAAACTTGCCATCCAGCTGTGGGGTGATAGTAATTTAGCCATCACATAAGACACAACAGAAGAGTGTTTGTCCCAGCTGTGCGGCACTGCTCATGGGCTTTCAGCGGTGATGGGGGGATGCAAGTCACGGGCACCGCAGCACAAGGGGGGACACTGAGCAGATGGAGGGGCGGTTTCTAACTAAAGCAAGTTGCACTTAAATCTTGTTGACCCTGTTCATAAAGCATTTGAACAGTATCTGGAGCTTGGCATTAGAAAAAGTTCAGAGAAGGGCAACTAAAATGATTAGGGGTTTGGAACGGGTCCCATATGAGGAGAGATTAAAGAGGCTAGGACTTTTCAGCTTGGCAAAGAGACGACTAAGGGGGGATATGATAGAGGTCTATAAAATCATGAGTGGTGTGGAGAAAGTGAATAAGGAAAAGTTATTTACTTGTTCCCATAATATAAGAACTAGGGGCCACCAAATGAAATTAACGGGCAGCAGGTTTAAAACAAATAAAAGGAAGTTCTTCTTCACACAGCGCACAGTCAACCTGTGGAACTCCTTGCCTGAGGAGGTTGTGAAGGCTAGGACTATAACAGGGTTTAAAAGAGAACTGGATAAATTCATGGAGGTTAAGTCCATTAATGGCTATTAGCCAGGATGGGTAAGGAATGGTGTCCCTAGCCTCTGTTTGTCAGAGGGTGGAGATGGACGGCAGGAGAGAGATCACTTGATGATTCCCTGTTCTGTTCACTCCCTCTGGGGCACCTGGCATTGGCCACTGTCGGCAGACAGGACACTGGGCTGGATGGACCTTTGTCCATGCACCCCCATTCTTATGTTCTTGGCCCTGGGAGGCACCGCTGGGGCTGGGCCAAGGACCTTACTGGGGCAGGAATATCTGACCCTCCAGACTGGATCAGACCAAAGTCCCCCCAGCCCAGTCTCCTGTCTGCTCCAGGGGGAGGGAGATGTGGGTAACCAGCCCCCCGAGGTCTCTTGGTTAGTCACTAAGGGGGATGTGAAACAGCATCTGCGAGGGACACACGGTTTTGTCTCAGCCAGCCTGGATAACTGGCACCCAAGAGTCATGGGATGGGGGTGCCCCAGGCTGTCCGTCTGTCCATTCCCCACAGCCTTCTGTCTGTCTGTCCATCCCACACAGCCCCCTGCTATCCATCCCACACAGCCCCCTGTCTGTCTGTCCATCACACACAGCCCTCTGTCTGTCCGTCCATCCCACACAGCCCCCTGCCATCCAGCCAGAGGCTATAGCCAAGCCCGTTACCATAGTCCATGCTCCCCTGGCATTCCCCTGGCCATCTCACACTCCTCGGTTCATAAATGTGAAGGCCGGGAAAAAGTTGGAAATGACTAAAGCGTCTTCCAGAAAGGCCCCGGGCCTTGGCCAAAGCCATGGAGAATCCATCACCTCCTTCCGGACTCTGTGCATATGCCTTATTTCTAATTTCAATTTGGTTCAACTTCCGGCCGCTGGCTCTTGTTCTCCCGTGCTCCATTAGGTGACTTTAGCAGCCTGTGCTGTAATCCAGGCAACTTTTAGCCTGTTCTGGACGTATTAATCAGATGGACCAAGTCTCCCGCACTCAGGCATTTCCTCCAGCCATCCAAGTCTTTGGGGGCTCTTTGCTGGCCCATCTCCAATGTTTAACCCCCTTCTTCCTAGAAGCCTAGGCCTGGAAGGGGCCATGAGCGGTCGTCTGCTCTGGTCCCTGCTCTCCAGGCAGGACCACAGAATAACGTTTTGAAATGTGGCATCAGAACCGGAGGCCGTAGGGCTCACCAATGCTGCGTACAGAAGTAAACTCATCCCCCTGCTCTTCACTCACTGCTCCAGTCTAACGGGCCAGAAGACCTAACGACACAGGGGGGCGGTGACACGGAGTGCCCGGGCGATGCTCTGGAACTGCTCCCCACAAAGCCAGTCAGGACTTCGGGGAGCCTCCTCTCCCTCGGAGCAGACTGTCTTCAGGGCAAGAAGCTCACACGGCTTCACCTTCCTGGGTCTCTCCTTGGAGCATTCAGCATATGCCCCTCTGTGCGCTTCCCACAGCGAGTCCGCCCAGGCGGGGTCCTGGGGAAGCCAGAGGGTCCTGCACGCACCCCCACTTCACAGTCAGACGTGACTCTCATCCAGCCAGTAAAACAGAGGTTTATTAGATGACAGGAACACGGTCTAAAACAGAGCTTGTAGGTCCAGAGAACGGGACCTCTCAGCCGGGTCCATTCTGGGGCCCAGCGAGGCAGATCTGCACTCACTTCCCATCCCCAGTCAGCTCCAAACTGAAACCCCCTCCAGCCCCTCCTTCTCTGCTTTGTTCCTTTCCTGGGCCAGGAGGTCACCTGACCTCTTTGTTCTCCCACACCTTTAGCATCCCCTTGAAGGGGGGAAGGGCCTGGCCATTAGTTGCTAGGCGACAGAGGGTAGGCCAGAAACTGAGGCACCCACACAGTATTCAGAGGAAACATTAAGAACAGTCCCACTTCGTCACAGTCGGTTACCCCACAGCTCCCTCCCCCCGGCGCAGACAGGAGACTGGCCACTCAAGTACATTGACCAGTGGTTTGGGGAGAGCCCCTCCCTCCAAAGCACGTCAGACCCTGCTCTTGCCCGTTGCCCCTGACCTCTGCCTGGCGGCGGAGGGCTGGGCCTGAGGGGCAGGCCAGTCATGGCGCAAGCTGACGCCAGGGCTCTGCAGCCCCATGTGCTGGGCCAAACTCCCTGGGCAGGGCTCTGGGGGCAGGGTGGGGCCGGGTGCTGAGTCATGGAGCCAGCAGGGCCGTGACCCTGTGACGTCCGTGGAGGAGATCGCGGGGGCCATACCCACCTGGCACTCCCAGATAATGGGCCCCCTGGGCCGCCTGCCTGTGGCTTGTGACACCCCAGAGCCCCCCGGGCCAGACCCCATCAGGCTTGGCTCGTCCCTCCCCTGACAGAACCAAACAGGAGCTACCAGCTGGACTGGGCGGGGGGGAGTGGGCTCTGAGCCCCATAGTCAGCACCAGCCCTTCCGTGCTTGGAAACAGACTCTGGGAGGGTGCATGCAACTGCCTGTGTGGTGTGTGTGTGTGTGTGTGTGTGCAGCTGGGTGTGTATTGTCTGCAGCGCTGCATGTGTAGGTGCACATGTGTACACAGGCTGTGGGCAGTGTGCGCTCTGCACGCCCTGCTGGAAGGCAGCCAGTGCTGGGCTGGAGCATGGCTGCTGCTGACAGTAACACAGCCCAGCCACTGAGAAGGGGAATCCAGCATCCCTGGAGGGCCATGCTGGCCACAAATTGCTACATGGGGGCCGAACCCCAACTCCTGCGGAAAGTGCTGGGGTGGGGGGCCTTACACCCCAGAATAGCCTGTCAGGATCCTGCAGCGCCGCTCTGGGGCACTGGGAACAGCACTGAGTGTGTGGGGCGATCCCCCCCCCCACTGAGCCCCCAGCTCACTGCCTGCAGCACAGCGCCCCCTAGCGCTGGCCTTGGGCATTGGGGCCTGCACTGACTGCGAGGGGAGAGCGCCCCGGGCTGAGTGACTCGTTCACAGCCCCCATCATGCCATTATATGGGTCCGTGCCCCACAGTTTGCCATTTGTATCATGGTTGTGTTAGGTGTGTCTGTGCTGGCTGTGAACAGTGAGTCTGGGGCTCAGGACTGTGCCATGGGGCAGCAGCGCCAGGCTACAGGGGGTGTCATGTATGGTTATTATTGCTCAGAAATGTTACTGACAAATCTACGGCCAAGCCCATTTGCAGGGGAGGGTCCTTTGAATTAATCTGCTGACATAGCATGGGGGAGGGGGCTGCAGGTCGGGAGTGAGGGGCACCAGCAGAGCTGTTTGTGGGGAGCCCAGGGCTGGGATAGCAGAAGGGCTGCAGGTCGGGATTGAGGGGCACTGGCAGTGAAGGGGGCTAGTCCCTACCCCCACATCACACTGCACTCTCAGGCCCTTGCTTTCATGGGCACCAAATTGCCTCTAAACCATTTAAAACACAGAAGACTCCCAGCAGGGGAGAGGGGCTAGTGCATTCCCTGCCCTGGGTGGAGAGCAGGCAAGCAGGGGGCACAGGGGATCAGGAGGGCTGAATTGCCCCCATGGGTCAGCGCCGCCAGCCCCACCCCACTCATCCCCCAGCAGCCCATCTGCAGCAGTCTCTGCTTCCCACAGCTGATCCCTCATCCCGCCTCACACACCCCCAGCCTTGCTGACCCCCAGTG